AGCCCGTTTGACAGAAATGTTGAAAAAGTATTGGGTTTCCTAAGGAATCCGCAAGAGCGCGCGGGATGAAATTTTGACATTAAAAAAAAAAAAAAAAAAAAAAAAAAAAAAAAAAAAATGTGTTTTTCATGTTTTTTAATGATAAAATCGCTGCGACCACAACGTAAGGTTTTGGAAGGATATTCATCTTGCGCGCGCGAGTGTGCACTTCGTGTCATTTTTTGCAAAGGATTCTTGAAGTTTGGCTATGTTAGAACAAGACATGTCATTTTATATTGTTTTTTGACAGGAAAAGCGGGCGTCAACAAAACAACCGGATCCGGACTCCCCCGTTTTGCCTGAGACTTCCTCACGAAAATGATGAAAATGTGGCTGCGGCCTAGGCGCGGCGAGGGGGGCGTGCACCTGGGGGCCCAACAATAATTATTCTTTAGAAGTAATAATATTCAACAACAACAACAACAACAACAACATCACCAACACCAACACCAACACCAACACCACACCACCAACAACAACAACAACAACAATTACTTAGTACACGGGGGACTCTTACTCCGTTTCTCACCAGTGCCAGGGTTATTCACATGTCCAAACGACTCGTCGCCACCACCCACACCCAGCTTCCCGCCCTATGACGTTCGGACACTTCACTTCGTGGCATGCGGACGACCGTGGCTACTATTCAGGGCCCCGCGGCCGACGACGACGGCGTGCGCACGCGAAGAAAAAACGAATGTGTCCCGCATGGTATTATTTGACAGGGATGATGGCCCTGGCAGGTGCGCAACCGTTGCTGCAGAAGTTCGAAAAAGTTGCTCGCAGAAGCCCGTTTGACAGAAATGTTTAAAAAGTGTTGTGTTTCCTATGAATCCGCAAGAGCGCGCGGGATGAAATTTTGACATTTTTTTTTCAAAAAAAAAAAAAAAAAAAACATTGGTTCTTTGATGTTTTTATGTTAAAATCGCTACGAAAACTAAGGTTTTGGAAGGATTTCGTCTTGCGCGCGCGAATGTCCACTTTACCTTATTTTTTGCAAGGGATTCTTGAAGTTTGGTTATGTTAGAACAAGAAATGTCCACTTTAGCTTATTTTTGCAAGGGAAAACGGGGGACAACAAAACAACCGGATCCGGACACCCACGTTTTGCCTGAGACTTCCTCACGAAAATGATGAAAATGTGGCTGCGGCCTAGGCGCGGCGGGGGGGGCGCGCACCCGGGGCCCCAACAATAATTATTCTTTAGAAGAAATAATGTTCAACAACAACAACAACAACAACAACAACAACAACAACAACAACAACAACAACAACAACAACAACAACAACAACAACACAACAACAACAACAACAACAACAACAACAACAACAACAACAACAACAACAACAACAACAACAACAACAACAACAGCAGCAGCAGCAACAGCAGCAGCAGCAAAAACAACAACAACAACAACACCAACAACAACAACAACAACAACAACAACAACAACAACAACAACAACAACAATTACTAGCACGTGGGGACACACCGTTCTCACCAGTGCCAGGGTTTTCATAGGAGGCGGGCAATACCCCCCCTTTGTGGGGGGGCCGGTTCAAGCTCTACCAAATTTCCAAACGACTCTTCGCCAACACCCACACCCAGCTTCCCGCCCTATGACGTTCGGACACTTCACTTCGTGGCATGCGGACGACCGTGGCTACTATTCAGGGCCCCGCGGCCGACGACGACGGCGTGCGCGAGCGAAGAAAAAACGAATGTGTCCCGCATGGTATTATTTGACAGGGATGATGGCCCTGGCAGGTGCGCAACCGTTGTTGCAGAAGTTCGAAAAAGTTGCTCGCAAAAGCCCGTTTGACAGAAATGATTAAAAAGTGTTGGTTTCCTACGAATCCGCAAGAGCGCGCGGGATGAAATTTTGACATTTTTTTTGAAAAACCATTGGTTTTTTGATGTTTGTATGTTAAAATCGCTACGAAAACTAAGGTTTTGGAAGGATTTCGTCTTGCGCGCGCGAATGTCCACTTTACCTTATTTTTTTTCAAGGGATTCTTGAAGTTTGGTTATGTTAGAACAAGAAATGTCCACTTTAGCTTATTTTTTGCAAAAAAACACAAAAAAAAATAAAAAAATAGAAAAAAAAAAAAAAAAAAAGAAAAATAAAAAAAAAAGAAAAAAAAAAAAACAAAAAAAAAAAAAAAAAAAAAAAAAAAAAAATAAAAAGGGAAAAAACCGAACGTAACAACACAACCGGATCCGGACTCCCCCGTTTTGCCTGAGACTTCCTCACGAAAATGATGAAAATGAGGCTGCGGCCTAGGCGCGGCGGGGGGGTCGCGCACCAGGGGCCCCAACAATAATTATTCTTTAGAAGTAATAATCTTCAACAACAACAACAACAATCACTTTACCCGAACGCTCAGTGTTCTCACCAGTGCCAGGGTTTTCATGCGACGCCAGCCAATACCCCCACTTTGTGGGGGGGCAGTGCAAGCTCTACCAAATATCCACACGACTCTTCGCCACCACCCACCCCCAGCTTCCCGCCCTATGACGTTCGGACACTTCACTTCGTGGCCTGCGGACGACCGTGGCTACTACACTGGCGTGGAGTACACACCCACAGAAGTTGTTAAGCCTACGTTCGTACACCCACAGAAGATGTTAAGCCTTGTTAACCCACAGAAGTTGTTAAGCCTTCCACAGAACATCTGTTGCATATGATGCATATGGTACATGATACACATGATACACATGATAAGTACTCACAAGATAGTTGATCACATCTTTAGGGCAAATTCCTGAGGGATGTGGGAATACACAAGAGAGAGAGGATATGGTTGTCCCGATGGTTGTCTCGATGGTTGTCCCGATGGTTGTCCTGATGGTTGTGGTTGTCCCGATCGTTGTCCCGATGATTGTCCCGATGGTTGTCCTGATGGATGTGCTTGTCCCGATCGTTGTCCCGATGACTGTCCCGATGATTGTCCCGATGGTTGTCCCGATGGTTGTTCCGATGGTTGTCCCGATGGTTGACCCCGTTGCAGAAGTCAAAAAGTTGCTAGCAAAAGCCATTTTGACAGAAATGTTAAAAAAGTGTTGGGTTTCCTACGAATCCGCAAGAGCGCGCGGGATAGAATGTTCACAACTTTTGTTTGAAAAACCATTGGGTTTTTTTGATGTTTTTATGTTAAAATCGTTACGAAAACAAAAGTTTTGGAAGGATTTCGTCTTGCGCGCGCGAATGTGCACTTTGTGTCATTTTTTGCAATGGATTCTTGAAGCTTGGTTATCTTAGAACAAGAAATGTCATTTTTCAATGTTTTTTGCAAGGAAAGCGGATTACAAGACAAAACAACCGGATCCTGTACACACCCTCTTTCTGAGGCTTCTCACGAAAATGATGAACTGTAGCTGCGGCCTAGGCGGCGCTCAAGGGTGGGGGGCGCACACAGGGGGCCCAACACAATTATTCGTAGAAGAAATAATGTTCAACAACAACAACAACCACACACCACAACATCACAACAACGACGACAGCAACAACAAGCACAACAACAACAACAACGACAACCATAACAACAACAACAACAACAACAACAACAACAACAACAACAACAACAACAACAACAACAACAACAACAACAACAACAATTACTAGCACGTGGGGACACTCCGTTCTCACCAGTGCCAGGGTTTTCATAGGAGGCGGGCAATACCCCCACTTTGTGGGGGGGCCGGTTCAAGCTCTACCAAATTTCCAAACGACTCTTCGCCACCACCCACACCCAGCTTCCCGCCCTATGACGTTCGGACACTTCACTTCGTGGCATGCGGACGACCGTGGCTACTATTCAGGGCCCCGCGGCCGACGACGACGGCGTGCGCGCGCGAAGAAAAAACGAATGTGTCCCGCATGGTATTATTTGACAGGGATGATGGCCCTGGCAGGTGCGCAACCGTTGTTGCAGAAGTTCGAAAAAGTTGCTCGCAAAAGCCCGTTTGACAGAAATGTTTAAAAAGTGTTGGGTTTCCTACGAATCCGCAAGAGCGCGCGGGATGAACTTTCGACATTTTTTTTTGAAAAACTATTGGTTTTTTGATGTTTTTATGTTAAAATCGCTACGAAAACTAAGGTTTTGGACGGATTTCGTCTTGCGCGCGCGAATGTCCACTTTACCTGATGTTTTGCAAGGGATTCTTGAAGTTTGGATATGCTGGAACAAGAAATTTCATTTTATAGTGTTTTTTGCAAGGGAAAGCGGGCGTCAACAAAACAACCGGATCTGGATGACATCGTTTTACCTGAGGCTTCCTCACGAAAATGATGAAAACGTGGCTGCGGCCTAGGCGCGGCGAGGGGGTCGCGCACCAGGGGTCCCAACAATAATTATTCTTTAGAATAAATAATGTTCAACAAACATGTTCAGGAAATACTCCAGAAATGCTCAACACAAAATCGTCCCCAGACTATTGTTCTGTTATTTGTGACTCTGCCTCCTGTGGAGGGACACGCCCGACTGAAGTCTGCCCATCTCGGGTGCAAGCGGAACTTCTCACCTTGACTCGGCAGCGCCAGCAGAGGCCACGCGCCCCACACCTCCAAGCCATTTCGAGTCCTCGAGGCCGAAGTGCGCCGGGACGGGCGGGCCCAGACGGCAGGCGGGCCTGCCCTGGAAGGTCTCCGCGCAACGCGGCGGCGGCAGCTCTGCCGCGAAGGTCCGGGCCTGGCGCCCCCCCCCATGGACCGCTCGGGCAGCTCCGCCCGTCTGGCCATGGCCTGGTCGCTCCCCCTTTCCCTCAGGTCGGGCACGTCCCCCCACAGGCGGGTCTTGGGCGAAGCGGACCACAAAAGCACACCCCAAAGAATACTCCAGATCGCATTCTTGGAAAAAAAAGGCTCCGAGACATCGTCCCCGGACCGTGCTGTGACCATGTGGGAGTCTTCCTCCTGTGGAGGGACAGGCCCGACTCGACCCTTCCCGTGCTCCCCCCC